TTGATCCCCATCCTACAACAGATGCGCATCTCAACAGTCATTGATTCACAGTTAAGTATTGAATGAGATGTGATCGCACTCACGTTTTCTTCATGTGGTGTTTCCAGCTCATAAACATTTCCCCCTTGAGCTGTTTTAAGAAATAACTTTGAGGGATGTGGTGTTGAATTGTGAGAACAACATAGAAATATACAAATACTTACCGACGACGTAGAGATGGTTATTGACTGCCAGCATTGAAATTAAATAGCCACCTATGGTAGGTGATTGCGAAATCAGTGTCCACTGACCTTGTCGACCATTAGTTATGGAAAGAAATTCTGCTGTTTGTGGGCTTCCATAACGAGAACCGGCAACGTAAACATACCCTTGAAAGAATTCTACCGCAGGACAACTCCTTGGCATCAACATTGAAGTGAATGAGCACCAAGTTAAATTTCCAGCAGAAATTTGAAACAATTCGACGATATTCAGACTCCTTCCGCTTACTCCTTGACCACCAAGAACTAAAACTCCAAGATCCGGAACGTTGACTGCTCCACAGCCAAATCTGCCTGTTGGCATATCGGGAAGTCTTTCCCATCTGCAATTCACAAATTCACCTCAATGACCTCGAAACTCACAAACCACATGTGCCAATAAATATGGACGAGTCGTAATAACAGTGATATTACAATACTAATATCNTAGCCACCTATGGTAGGTGATTGCGAAATCAGTGTCCACTGACCTTGTCGACCATTAGTTATGGAAAGAAATTCTGCTGTTTGTGGGCTTCCATAACGAGAACCGGCAACGTAAACATACCCTTGAAAGAATTCTACCGCAGGACAACTCCTTGGCATCAACATTGAAGTGAATGAGCACCAAGTTAAATTTCCAGCAGAAATTTGAAACAATTCGACGATATTCAGACTCCTTCCGCTTACTCCTTGACCACCAAGAACTAAAACTCCAAGATCCGGAACGTTGACTGCTCCACAGCCAAATCTGCCTGTTGGCATATCGGGAAGTCTTTCCCATCTGCAATTCACAAATTCACCTCAATGACCTCGAAACTCACAAACCACATGTGCCAATAAATTTGGACGAGTCGTAATAACAGTGATATTACAATACCAATGCCATAATGGAATTAGAATTATGTTGGTGAGGAATTTGGGTGATCCGTTACTTTCCACTCCAACACAACGTTCTGCTTTCTCAAATACCAACGATGATGGTCTCTATTCAACTCCAACTACGTGTAGTCACCTAGTCAAATCATAGAGCTTCGCAATTTTTTATTCATTCTCACACCTCCGAAGCAAATATTCTGTTGAAATCACAGAAGAAATGTAAGACTCGAAGGCGAAAAATAAGCACATCCACGTGGAAACGACAAGCTCCAAAACACATGGCCATTCACTCTCCTAGAAACCTGAAAATAGTGCATGAGGGCTGAAAGCAGAATCTGTAATCCCAAACACCTAAGGTATATCAAACAATTCATCGATGATCTTTAGATTAGCTTATCATGACGGAAAAGTCCTAAACTCACTTGTCATCCAATGGAGAATATTTCTCACAGGAGGCAAAATCTTCAGGATTGATTTCAGTTTTATCATTGGTATATCCTCCAAAAACAAGAATTTCATGTTCGACAGCAACTCCAGAAGCGAATTCTCTACTCTGAGTCATTGCATTTGTCTCCTTTACCTCGCCATTGCAGGGAATTACTTTAAAAACACGGGAACAAGTGAGAGCATTCAGTCCTAAACCTCCAATCACATAGATATATTCTGAAATGAAGGAGAGATCAGAGTAGGACTTGTGCGGTGTTGGCACACAAGACGGTGATGAACTTACAACTTACCATCACAAGCAACTACGCAGCTGTTAATTCTGAAAGGGATTTTCAACTCTGCTTCAGCTTCCTTCACTTCTGGAACAGCTGGTAATAAAGATATGAAGGTTTGCTTGGTTCCACCGTATCTTCTATAAGTAAAGACTCTTTCCCTCTTCCTGTTTAAAAACAAAGTCTCAATTTACATCGTCAGTGAATCGTTTGACAAACTTTACTCACTTATTTTCCTCAGATTTATCACACATTTTTAAGTAATCCAGAAGTGTGTGTCTTAAGAAAATAAACTCTAATTTAATTGCATCAAATACCTCGATCTGCCTGATAGAATAATGTCGGACTCTCCCAAGGCCAGATCAACGAAAAAGGAACGAGGAAGTTTGTTAGCATTTAGTGTTGAAAGAAGATTTGTGAAGAACGCATCACGGGTGTCTCTTTCACACGATGAAGGAGCCGCATTTATCCATGACACCATTACTTTCAACCTCAATTCCTCACTTGGGGCCCACAACCAGGGGCTACTCAGAAGAGCCTCCATGTCCTTCGGGGTTGTCCATCGCAGACACTTCTCATCCTTGACGAAGGAATCAAAGTCACGTGCAATAGGGAGGATATCTTGGTCTCCCCAATCATGTCTGCCTAGAATAGAGCTGATCAGCCAAATCTCATTGACATTGATTTGATCGAACCTAAAGAAGAGAAGATGAGTTGATGAATTTAAGTATGCACACTATAACCCATAGTTGAACTAATCGACTCCACATTAGTGAGCTTACATTCGCATTTTAATCGGTTGCTTATCAACAACTAATGAGACAATATCTGCCAACCGTTTCACCTCTCATTACTCACCATTTCCACTCTCTTCCAATTTCTTCACCTCATGGTACTCTTTCTCCCCTTCTATCTGTACCACTTTTGTTCTAATCAACTTTTCTAATTCAACTCATTATCGTCCAATTTGGGGTGGAGACTGATTTATCCTTTCGCACTCTCTAATGACACTACTCTCATAAGATGACTCCAACTTTCTCTATAATCATGCTTCTGAAGTGCTTCAGGGAAAATTTGAACTGCCAATGAAGTCGCCTTTAGGCATGTGGTTTTCGGTTCTCTTTAGTTTTAAGGGTGTGCTTTAAAATATATGCCTCTGTGTGCTTAACACGAAGTCCAATGGAATTACATATATGAATTACATTGGACAATCACTCACCTCTCTTCAATAAAGTTCCGACAAACATCAATTAGAGATTGAGATCCAAGTTGATGTGCCAATAAATAGATCTGACACACCGTGCGCACGTTTAAACCAATTTTGCCTGTGTAGACAAAGTCTATCACAGATACGACAAGTCTGAAATGAATCAACGGTGAATGAAAGAATGAATCTGGATGTACTCGGTAGTGTAACGGTGCCATTTCATAGTAGGACCTTGATTCTGCAATAATTGATTCATGATTCTAGGAAACTGGGCACAAAGGAATGATCGATGGACTGGAATCTTGTGATTCTCCTTTGTCTAGAGATTAATAAATTATTGTAAAATATGGGATTCATCATGCCACCTACGATAATGTGTAAATCAATGAGATGTCCATTTTGTCGAAGTTGGTTGAAGAACTTTGGTGGAATTGAAAGTGTCGTTTCATCAGAGGGAGTACAGTAAATGATTTCATCTTCCATCTTTACGCAGTGAGTTTAGTGTTAACAATGGGTGCTCAAGAAAAGTCATATTTCGTGTGCATTGAAAGTGCGTCAATGTTACCTCTCTCTTCGAGTTGATAGGCCTTTTTAGTTTTTCACACCACAAGTAAGATTTGGATTGGCTACTTGCATGTTAGAATTCGATCGAGAACCGCCAAATGCAATGTGACTGCAGAAATGAATCTTGGCAAGCTTGACAGTAGGCAATCCTTAATTTTAGTCATACTTACTAAAACGCCCTACATAATTTCTCCTTCAGTTCACAGTTTGATTGCAACAATTTGATTGAAGTTGCCAACGTAAGATTAATGCTGATATGAGGATTTTCAAACTGTTTAATTCTAATTTGCTAAACGTCATCACGCTAAGTCCAAGAGTTGCTCATTTGTACCCCACTAAAATATTTCCCCCTTCATTTTCATAATTCGACCAAGAGGAATAAAGAACTCCTCCTTTCCTT